TGAGCCAAAAACCCATAATTTGTCTTCAATTTCTCCTGCTTTCTCACTTCTGCAGACACTGAAAGCTCAAATACATCTAGCTCTATCTATCTATACAGCAATGACCTTAATCCATTATCTCCAATCCAGATTTCTGTAACTGTTTCCTAATTGGTGTCCCTGCCTCCCCTATCCATTTGTCACAGCAGAATAGAAATACTGTTCCGACAGACAAAACTAATTGTTTTCATTCTTTGAGCAGTGTTTGCTAGGTTTGGTACAAGTGTTAGAGATGAGACATGTAAAATGCAGTCTCTGCCCTCCAGAATGCATGCCACTTTTTAAACATCTTTAATACTTCCCCGAGGTTAGGCTCATGGATTTGAACCGCAGGCTGTGATCTGGCCTGTGCCTACCTCTCCAGACTCCTCTTCAGTCACACACCCCACCCTCTCCCTGGAGCTCTGTCCTCTTTTACCAGTCATAATTTTGCTACTTAAGGTTTTGAAATAAGACTTCTGTATTTGTATTACCCAGATTTTAAAATCTGTGCCCTTTTAACATATGCTCAGTTCAATTTAGTTTCTCTACACAAGCAAGCAGCCAACATCTGGAGTCCAGTCTTTTCTTCTGAGCTACAGGTTTGTACTTCTAGTTGCCTGAATGACATTTCCACTTGGCTGTCACACAGGTACCTCAAACTCAGTATGTTGAAATTGTTCCTGTCATTTTCTGTCTTCATAGTCTCTGTAAACTGTATTGTCATCACTGTGGTATTTAGGCAACAAACCTGGGAGTTACCCTTAGGAGTTTCTTCTCCCTCACCTTTATATCAAATCAATCACAAATCCCAGTTTAATTTACTTCCTAAATATTTCTCAAGTCTAGTCACCTCGGTCTATTCTCAATTCTGGGGCCTTAATCCAAGTAGGAACTTTGCTTGGCCTGGACTGCTGTAACCTCCTAGGTAGCCCTCCCACAACTGTGCTTTTTCACTGCAGAACACTCTACACATACCTGATCTGGCACCATATGTTTATTATTGTATTCGTCAGCTGGGACTGCTGTACAGAAATGCTGTAGACTAGGTGGCTTAAATAGTAGACATGTGTTTTTTCATAGTTCTGGAGGCTTGAAGTCTGAGATCAGGGTGCCAGCATTGGGTCTGGTGAGAGCTGTCTTATAGGTAGCCACTCCTTTTTTTTTCCCCCTTAAATGCCCTTTGTTTGTTTTAAGTGTAGTTAACACACAGTGTTATATTAGTTTCAGATATACAGTATGATAATTTAACAGTTCCATATACTATTCAGTGCTCATCAAGATAAGTATACTCTTAATTATTTATTTTTAACATAAGTGTACTCTGAATCCCCGTCCCCTATTTCATTCATTCTCTCACCCACTTCCCCTCTGGTAACAATTTGTTCTCTATAGTTAAGAGTCAGTTTTTTGGTTTTCTTTTATTTTTTTTCCCTTCATTTTCTGCTTGTTTCTTAAATTCTACATTTGAGTGAAATCACAGTATTTGTCTTTCTCTGACTGGTTCTTGCAAGCTCTCTGGTATCTCTTCTTAGAAGAGCATTAATCCCATCCTGAGGACCCCTACCCTCAGGACCTCATCTAATCCTAATTACCTCCCCAAAGCCCCATCTCTGGATTGGGGATTAGGGTTTCAACATGTGAATTTAGGTAGGACACAAACATTCAATCCATAATAACTATATTTTCTTATTTTTTATATTCTTGATGCTCTGGCTTCTGGAGCCTCCCTGACTAGGCAGGCATTGTCCTTTCCAGGGGTAGCCATTTCTTATATAGCAAATAACTTACCCTGGACTGCACCTTTCATATTCAGACTAACCAATCCAGAGCCTATCCTCTAAACCACCTTCTTTTTCTGACTCTTACACTCCAGGAAACAGTATTCTTCTGCTCTAATCATCTCAAGTCCAGGTACCAGACAACTAAAGATAGCCCCTAGACCTTAGAGCCTGCTGAAATTACTTAAATTAGCCAATGCTAAGCCTGCTTGCCCTCCCTTCCCTTGCCTTTCTCTGGGAAACCACGGTAAAGGTTGTCATCCATGCTCTTTCCTTGCTTGTTCTGCCTCCTGACTGACGCTGGTGCTTTCCCATGTGGCCCTGCTTGGCATGGCATGTCACTTCTTAGGAACTGTGAGTAACTGCCTTTTCAGTGGCAGTCATCTCCTGATCTGTTGGCTTCACCATACCTGAAAAATAATAAAACCTGTATTTTAAACACTAACACCACTATGGACTGACTTGTGTCCCCTCAGAATGCATATGTTGAATCTCTAGTTCCCTGTGTGACAATATTTGGAGATGGGGCCTTAAATGGTTATTAGGTTTAAATGAGGTTATGAGGTGGGGTTTTTGTGATGGGACTAGCACCCTTATAAGAAGAGACCAGAGAGCTTCCTCTCCTTCTCCTCCATGTGAGAATACAGTGAGAAGGCAGCCATCTGTAAGCCAAGAAGAGAAACTTTGCCAAGCACCAAATCTCTGCCATCATCTTGAACTTCCTAGCCTCCAGAACTCTAAGAAATAAATTCTCTTGTTTAAAGTATCCAGTCTAAGGTATTTTGTTGCCACCCAAGCTGATGGAGACTGCCACCTCGCTTAAACATTTTCAGTGGTTTGCCATTACTTTTAAGATAAAATTAAGAAATTCTTTCAGCCTAAAACATTTGCCTGATTGGTTTACTGCTTATCTCCAGCCTCATTTCATATCCTTTCTCTTCATCATTAATTAAGCTTCAGTCACAATGGACATATTTCACTTTTTTAAGTTCCCTTCCTGCAACAGGACCTTTGCACATTATGTTGCCACTGCTTAGGGGTTCTCATCTTCCCCTCAGTCCCTCTTTACCTTACTCATATCTGCATGTTTCAGGACTCAATTTATGTTTCACTTCTTTAAGGAAAATCTTCACGACTCCTTATATGAAGGCCCTTGTTTTTTGATCATGGTACTCTGTACTTTTCCATCATAGCACTTACCATAATTGGAATTAAATATTTATTTGTGCAGTTAACTTTCTAGTGTTTTTCACCCTGGCTAGACTGTAAAGCATGAGGGCAAGGGTTATCTTATCTCCTGCATATAGCATAGTTCGGGGCACATAGTAGGTGGTTAATAGATATTTGTCGAATGAGTGAATAAAAGAGTGACAATAATTATTGTAGCTGCCTTTATAAACTGTATAGATAGACCTATGGATAATATGGAGAAAACAGATCTTTTCATGTCCTATCCTCCAAATACATGCATAGAAGTTCTCCTAAAATGGGTCATTTAAGTACCTCAGTACTACATTGTGGAAAGGCCAAATAATTAGACACATATTTTGCTAACACATGAAAAGTGAAATAAAGAAGATATAAATGCAAAAGATGTTTAATATAAAGCCAGGAGATTGCGGTTCAAAATTTCAAATAGAGGAATCTTCTGTACATCAGAAACCTTGTGGTAGATATTGTGATCCTGTGCCAACTTTTTTGAACATGTGAAAGTGATTAAAGTGAAAAGTTTTGGAGGCAACTTAATGTAGAGGTATGCCCCAGAGTGAGTTTAAAATCTGGCTCTATTACTTATTAGCTCTGTGATCTTAAACAAATTACTTAAATTATCTAAACCTCAGAGTTCCCATCTTGGGATGGAGATAATAGGACCTACCTTGGAATTTTTGTTAAACTTAAATGAGATAATGAATGTAGAACACTTAACTATAAGACCCTGCACATATGCTATTTCATTATTCCAGTAATTTACCAGAATATATTACTTTGTGTAAACATTCTTCCTTCTTCCTAGAATGTATTTCTCTACCACCCCATTTCATTTCCTGCCACCACCTTCTCTGGTTTCTGTGACCCCCTTTTGTTGGAATCTTTATATGTAATCCCATGTTTTTCATTTCCCTCCCTCACTAGACTGTGAGGGCATTGACTGCATCTTGTTTTCATTATATCCTCAGCAACTAACACATTGCCTGGCACATAGTGAATATATTATTAAATAATTAATTAAATGCATATCTAGTGAATAAGTAAATAATATAGGATTGGCTTAAGGATTAGAAATAACCTATCTGCAACATTTACCTTAATGTCTAACTTGTAGTTTAATACATATAGCTATTATTATTATTACTAATAATATTTTTGAGAAACATAGGTTACTTAGATTAACTAAATGACTTGCTGCCATTAATATCCTTTCTTATACATATTAGTGAAAATTTTACCCATCTTAGGTGTTCTAGGAAAAGGGAAAGTGCAAAAGAATATTGATAGGACCCCCAGACCTGTAGACGGTAGACCTCATTCTTTCCTGGAAGTATGAGATCATAGTTTGTGGTACTGAATGAGCTGAGTGGTCCAGTGAGTCAGGTGTCCTACTTAGGTATGTACATTAGGGTAGATAGGTGGATGGACGAGCTTGTTTGTTCAATGACAGTAAACCAAGCCCCATTAAGTAGAGGGCAAGGAAAGGTAAAAGAAAGAGACAGGCCACTCCTGGTTTATAGGTGGCAGTTTTAATAAAAAGAGAGTACCTACATACAAGGTTCATCTTGGGTGGCAGCAATGGGTCCCCCACCTGCCCATCAAAACTTGAAAGTGTATAAAGAGGACTTAATTCAGTTCAACCAGGTATACTATACAAGTGTTTTTCAACACCACATCACTATCTCAAGACTGTCCTTGGAACAGCCTCTGGGAGCAAGAAAGACAAGTGGAAGTTACTCCTCTTCCAAGGATAGGAGGGAGTGAGGAGCTTCCAATTGGCTGGGTCCAGCTCAGAGGTTAACTGACGGTCACATCCTTTCAGTGACCTTCCCCAACACTCAAAGTAATTAGATGTTAAATATATGAAAGTATTAGTAAAAGATATTAGGTAAGAGGTGACTATAATAATCATTCTGATGTTTTATTTTGATTTGTATAATAATTGTACCTCTGCAATATTCAAGTCCTCTTATCTTTTTTTGTTTCTTATAGCTGTTGGATGAACTCCCAATGATTTACAGCTGTTGTATATTTGTGTACTGCATGTAAGTGCCTATGTTTAAAATTCCATTGTTTAATATATTTTAGAATTCATTTTCACCTCATAATGAATTAAGTAATGTAATTAACCCTATTGCATTATACTGGGAGATTGTAATAATGTAAAAGTTTATTACTTCTGTGATCTCCATGTAGAGTATAAGCTGTGGAAAGTTATAGTAATGTTGCTATTAACTTTTATGATCTCAAAACTCTATGGCCAGTTTAGATACTCTTACTAAAATTTTACTTAAAGAATTTTGACTTAATTTGTATAATCTGCATTTCCTTGAGTTATGAATGTAGATAAAAATGTTACATATTATACCATAGAAATAATATTTATGTACTTTGTACCTGTAATTGTGGTAAGTATTATACAAATCCCCTGTAATTCTTTCAGTTGTGCATGATAAATGGGTATTATCCCCATTTTATAGACGATTAAGTGAAGCACAGAGGGATTTAGTAACTGGTCTAAGGATATAAGCAGAACTTGTGCTTAGGTGACTTGCCTAAGGCCATGTAGCTGGTGTCAGAGTTGGAAATTGAACTACAAATTTAATAAGCTTAACTTCTAACCATGCATTTAATTCTATAGCACTAGTGCTTAAAATTTCTCTAAACCCCTTATGTGATGGTTATCTCTTTTCAGTATGATCATTATTACTAGTTCAAGTATATTTTCTTCTTCTTCTTCTTCCCTCTATTTTTTTTTTTTTTTTTTTTTTTTTTGTGGAGAAAGTGTGTGCTAGTGGGAGTAGTAGGTGGTTGGGGAGGCAGTGAGAGAGGGAGAGAGAGAGAGAATCCCTGACAAGTCCACACTCAGTATGGAGCCTTATGTGGGGCTTTGTCTCAAGACCCTGAGATCATGACCTGAGCTGACATCACAAGTCCGACACTTAACTGACTGAGCCACCGAGGTACCCCAAGAATGTTTTCGTCTAAAGATATCTAAAAATCAGAATCGTGTGATATTATTTAAAGAGCTCATGTGGGGGCACCTGGGTGCCTCAGTTGGTTAAGCATCTGCCTTCGGCTCAGGTCATGATCCCAGGGTCCTGGGATCCAGCCACGCCTTGGGCTCCCTGCTCAGGTTTGCTTCTCTCTCTCTCCCTCTCTCCCTCTGCCCCTCCCCTGCCCTGGTTCTTTCTGTCTCTCTCTGTCAAATAAGTAAATAAAATCTTTAAAAAATAAAATAAAAAAGCTCATCTGAAACTTTTTTGTAAAGGGACAGTAGTAATTATTTTAAGTTTCATGGGCCTGTGATCTCTGTTGCATCTCTTCAACTCTGCTACTGTAGCAGTGAAGCAGCCATAGATAATATGTAAACAAATGAGTTTGACTGTTCCAGTAAAATATTATTTACAAAAACAAGTTTGGGCCTTTGGGCAGTAGTTTGCTGCTCCTGATCTAGAAAAGTACTTTCAGGTGAGCTTTTTAAAAATAAGTCATCAAGTCACAGAATATGAAAGTAAAAGAGACCTTAGAAATCATCCGGGCCAACCATCTTTCTGTAGAGATAAGGAAATAGGAGTTGGGTCCAATTCCTACAGCCAATTAATGAGTAAACTGAGAACTTTCCTGCTGCTTCTACTAAAACATAGGTTCAAAGGTTGGATACCTAACCCATGGTCAAATATTTGTTCTTATTTCCTCATTTACTGAGTATTTGCTAGCCTAGTGATTAGATATGATTAGACGCATGAGAAAAAGATTTTATCCCTGCACACAAAGAGTTCACAGTCTGGTTGAGGAGACCCATAAAGAGACAATTATAATAGAGTGATATTTTCTGTAATAGTGCGCCTTACTCAGGGATGGCTCATTGCAAGATTTAGAAACCTACTCAAGCCAGCTTGACTTAAGAGAGATTTATTTAGAGGACATGAGGAAATTATATGAAACCCAATAAACAGGAAGTACAGCCTGACTACAATTTAAGGGCAGCTTATCTTTCCCACCCTTTTTTCTCCATTCCTTCTCTGCATGGTCTCATCTTTGAATTTGCTTTATTTTTCCATCCATGCAGATCACTTTTCTGCTCATTCATCTTCTTGTTCACTCAGTTTAGCTGCCCAAATATCAGCATCAGACTTTGAATCCATAAAGCTTTATACTTTGACTCCTCACATTTAATTGATTCAGTCTCTGACTCCCAAACTCCCAAGTTTTCAGGAGAGAGCCTCTCTTTGACCCAGTTAAAGCCAGGTGCCTTCTCTTGATTTCTCCAGCCTCTTAGAGGTGGAGCAGTTTCTCTGAGGTGAGAGTTTGGGTGGGAGGAAATGATGGGCATCACTAGACCCAAAGGTGTGTATACAAGTGGTAAGACAGCATTCTATTTTACTAGTTATATATTTTAAAATAAGTTTCTTTCTCTCTTTTTTTAAAGGTTTGAATGTTTCAAGATGAAGAACTCTGTAAACTACCACCTGCTTTTTATCTTAGTTCTATTCAGTTTAATAGTAACCACAGTAAGTCATACTTTGTTTCTAACAGATGAAGCATGTGATGTGGGTTTGAGAATTGTCAGGGTATAGGTAGTACTAGAAATGTGGGAATAGATGAACTGGCACAGAGATAGCATGAACCATTAAGATGACCAAAGATGCAGCCCTATGGAATACTTTTTTTTTTTTAACAGAGATAAAAAAGAGTATACAGTTATGATATTTGACCCTAAAAGTTGCAGTTGATTTGTCTGTTCGCTATTCACAGCCTGTCAGTATGCAAACTTTCTTAATGCCTAAAGATTTCAATAAGAGTCATCACTTTAAATATAAAAACTATATGCATTTAAGGTATAAAACATGATACTTTGATACATAGTGAAATGATTACTCTAGGTAAGCTAATTAACATATCTTCAAACATGTATGTGTGTGAGAGAGCAAGAGATGAGACCCCCTGAAATCTATTCTCTTAGCAAATTGCCACGGTTCAGCCCGTATTAACCATAATCGCCATGCTGTACATGGGAATACTGACATTTGAGGGTCAGGTAGAAGAAATGGAGCCAGCAAAGGAGACCTAGAATAAGTATCAGAGATGTAGGAAAATGAAAGAGCCCAATATCACAGAGTACAAAAAGATTTCCAGAAGAAGTAACAGTGTTAGTTGCCTCTGAGAGCATGAGTAAAATACAGATTGAAGTTTGACCTATAAAAATTTCAGTTAAAAGACCAGGTAACCCTAATAAGGATACTGTCAACAGTACATTGATAGAGGCAGAAATTAGATATCAGTGAACTGAGAAGGTGAATAGGAGGTTGAAAGAACCGGTACACTATTTCTTTATGCTTCTACTCTGCACTGTGTAGTCCTTCATATAAACTACATACTCATTGATCATGAGAGAATCCTTGTGTTTCAGAGGTTAAAGGAAGTCTTATAAAAGAAGAGACTAGGGGACACTTGGGTGGCTCAGTCCGTTAAGCATCTGCCTTGGGCTCAGGTCATGATCTCAGGGTCCTGGGATTGTGCCCCACATCAGGCTTTCTGCTCAGCAGGGAGTCTGCTTCTCCTTCTCAGTTTCCTTCTGTGCTCTCTCCCTCTCTCTGTCTCAAATAAATAAATCTTAAGGGAAAAAAAAAGAGACTAAAGTCTAGAGAGTTTTAGTGACTTGCCTGGCCAACCAAGTTTATGTGGAGAAGTGTGGCAGAGTCAAAACTGGACCACTTTGTAAGTTCAGAACTGATATGATCAGAATTATAGGCTTGGGAGTCAGTCAGATCCGAGTTTGGAGCAACACAGTTACTTAATAACTAGGAACCTCAGACAAGTTACTTAATCTCTCTGTATTAATTTCCTCGTCTATAAAATGAAGATAATAATAGCATACATTTTGTATTAGTTGTGAAAATTAATACGTGGCACACAGTAAGAACTCCATAATTCTTTTGCCTTAAAATAGTCTTTAAGAGGCATGTCCTTTTGCATTTCTTCTATTAATAGCAGTAGGAATATGAAACTATACAAAGAGAAGTTAATATCTTGAAACAACACATTTCAGAGATGGAAAGCATTCTTCCTTACTGAGTTTAGAGTTACAGACATATAGGGTCTCATATACATCTTACTATTAAAGTTCTATGGGTGCTTAAAGGAAATAATCTGCTTTTATTGTGTGAGGATAGGAACTTCTGGAATAAGAAATTTTGTAGCCAAATTGTAAAATTACATAAAATTTTTGTGGGGTCAGCACTACATTAAATGAGCATATAGAGATATCTAAGCACAACCTTTGCTGTCAAAGAGATGATTGCCTTGTTGGGGAGAGAAACAAACCATTAAATTATATGACATTTATACGTGGTCAGTGAGGGCACAAAGGAGGGTGAATGGCTGCTTCTGCTGAATGGAGAAAGGACCAGGAAAGTCTTCTAGAAAAAGGGATAGTTTGAGCTGGATCTTGGAAGATGAATGTTGGCCAGCAGGGGAGGATTTCTAAACAAAGTAAAGAGCAGCATATTTAAAGATGTGGAAGCACTATACTTTCTGGAGCCTAGGATGAGAAAGGGAAAAGATGAGAGCAGTGAGGGCAGACAGAAAGTCAGGAGTGAGATCATGCAAAGCTTTGAAATTTGGACTTTGTATTATAAGTGTTCGGAGCCATTTCAGGATTATGATTTGAATTTTCATTCTCTCTACCATGTCATTTTAAAGGCATATACTCCTACAGGGCAATAAATGGCATGCTAAATCTTCAATAGACATTGAACTTAATCACCCAAATGATATTAGAGCCTAAAACTGGGTTTGTGTAATTGGAAATGCATTTAGGTGATGAGTTATGTAACTAGATGAGTGTGTTAGAGGTTTTGGAAGTAAAAAATAGCACAAGAAATTTGTTAAATGCTTTCAGTTATTGAGCATGCATTATATGCTAAATTGTTTCATGTATTTTAGCTTTTATTCCTTACCACTATTACTCCCATTATCCGGATTAGGAAAAAATTAGTCTTTTGGTTAAGTGACTTGCTCAAGGTCTATAGCAAATAAGTGGCAGACTCTGAAATTTATCACCTGTCTCTAAGTCCAGTGTTCTTTCTGTTGTAGAACAAAATGTGTTGTAGACATTGTCGACAGAACCTCTTCACCCCTCATGAGTAACTGTGTACCTTTGCCCTTCCTTGATGCTGATGTAGAAGCCAAGAGGCCAGAGTAATCCACAATAACTGAAAAATTTGTTTACCATGGTAAAGCTAGCACTGGTGGAGACCCACCTGAAGGTGCTAGCCTTTCTGTGGCCCGCCACCTAATCTGATGTTTTATGTGGCTATAGTCAGATCTAAGTAGCAATACTAGGGAAGCAAGAGAGATTTGGGATTTGCAGAATTGTTAGAATAAGTTTTCTTCACCTTCAGTAATGCACTTCATTCACCTGTTTTTCTTTTAATATTTTGTAGGTTTACCTTAAGGTAAAGGAGCCTATATTCCATCAGGTAATTTTAAAAAATTATTACACACATGATTGTTTAACAGTACTTGCCTGCATTGTGTTTCCTTTTCAGGTAAATTATATGCAATACAATTTCTGAAAATAAAATGGTAGATGTCCTATGAAAGTGTTTAAAACAGTTTGCAAACTCAAGTGCTTAAAGGATGCCAATGCCCAGTCCCAGCTGTCTTTAGTAGTCAGTATGCAAGTGTAGCATTGCTCTTATAAGAAAAATCAAAGTATTCATGTACATACACATACAAGGTCCTTTTTATGACATCATTTTCTAGAAAAGATAGACTGAAGATTCCTCGAATATTTCCCTTCTAGTATTTTATGAGTTTTTTAAGGTGGGAGATTATTTACATTGAGGAGAGCAGACATAGGAAACTTTGCTGTAGGAAATAATGATTTAAGTATATCCCATAATGAAACCAGAGGAAAATAAAGTAGCAGACCCCAAACAGAGCCATTGTTAATTGAGTGCTGTCATGTGCCTGGCACTATGCCATTAATTCACAAACTCTGATCTCCCCAGCAGTCCTACAAATTAGGGATTATTGTTCACATTTTAAAGGAAATGAACTCAGAGATACTAAGAATTTGTCCAGCATTTACACAGTTATTAAGGGGCACAGCCAGGATTGTAACCTAGATTTGTTTGACTCCTATCACAATTCTTTTAACAAACTAGAAAACAAACAAACAATAAATAAATAAGGACACATTTCAAGAGTATCAGAAGGCTTGCAGTTTTAGAATATTTTGTGCTTATATAAAAAGTAAGTGTTCCTGTATCTTTTTAAATTTAAGCTAGATAATAATCATCTAACTGAAATCTGTTTCTTAAAATAAATTCCAAAAGCACATTATTGTGCCTTGCTTTTCTACAGGCAAGCCTAAAGTAGATGTTACCAGAGAGAACATCCTCACTTCCTTATTATTTTGACTTGAAGTATGTCATTATGGAATTACCTCTTTATGAAGAAAGATTTATTGACACAGTGTAGAGGGTGAAGTTTACTTGTATTAAGTATACTTCAGCTTTTGTAAATTTCTAATTTGTCTTTATAAAAAAGAAAAATCATAAGAGCAAAAAAACAAAATTTGGAAATTTGGGGTTAATTTTTGTAAGTTTATGACCATCAATTTTCCACTTTGTGTTTTAGACTATTTTACACTGTGTTTATGTAATAAAAGTAACAAACTGTTCATCTAACTTCCCATGCTGCAACTCTCATGTGTTTTTTTTAGTAATAAGTATTTTCTTTTCTGTAGATAGTGGTAAATGTTTGCTACTAGGAAGGAAGGGAGGGAGGATGAAAACTTAGAACTATGGGTTATATATTAGGCCTTCTTAGGAGAGAAGTGAAGAAGTAGAGAAATGGTAGGGTGAAGTAGATAAGTAGTCTGAAGGTAGAAGACAAGTATTCATTTAACAGATGTCCACTGTGTACCTTCTCAGTACCAAATTCTGAGCTCAAAGTTGGAAATAGAGGGACAGTGGAGCAAAAATGTGAATACCTAAAATCAGGCAGACCTGGATACAAATCGAGTGTCTACTTACTAACTGTATACCCTGGACAAGTTACTTACCTTCTTTGAGCTTTGGTTTCCTCATTATTCCACAAACACTTTTTAAGTGCTTTCAGTATGCCAGATGCTGTACTAGGCATAAAAGGGATACTAGTGAATAAAATAACAGCGTCTCTGCTCTTGAGGAGCTCGTTATACTGTACGTGTAAAATTGTATAATAATCTCCTAAGGTTATCTGAGAATTAAAGGAGGTACTGCAGCGGCGCCTGGCTGGCCCAGTCAGTAGAGCATGTGACTTCATCTTGGGGTTGTAAGTTTGAGCCCTATGTTGGGTGTAGAGATGACTTAAAAATAAAATCTTCTAAAAAATAAAAATAAATTTAAAAATAAATGAAATAATGCATATAAAATCCCTACCACATGGTAAGCAGTTAGTAAATGTTAATTAATATTAATAAACCAAGGTAAATAAGACATGATTACTGTTCTCAGGGTCAGGAAGATAGACTTGTAAAAAAAATATTTATAGTATGTAAAAGCACTGCTAATGCAGACAAGGGTGCAGTCTCTCTGCTTACATGACTCAGGATAGGATTACAAGATATAACGGTTGCATATAGGTAAATTATTATTTCCTCTAATATTGAAAAACAAAATAGGGAAGATGGTCTGCTATTGTGATACAGGAGTATTTCTCGCTATTTGTAATGTTTTATTTGAAGATATCTTTGGCCCAAAGTCTAATCTGGAATATCCTTTCCTGTCCCGTTAAGTAATTAGAATTGATTTTCTTCTTTTTAAGAAAGCTCTACACCCAACATGGGCTTGAACTCACCAGCCTGAGATCAAGAGCTACAAGCTCTACCTACTCAGGCAAGCCAGGCACCCCAGAATCAATATATTTTTTTATACTCTATTCCTAATCGGTTTCTGAGTATCATCCTTAAAGAGAACTACTTTTTCTGAGAATCTTTTTGTCTAAGTTTGTAGACTATCACTCTCATTCTTTTATATCACTATTGATATTATGTATGGAAATTTAGAAAAATTATTTTGAAATTTGTAATTGGAAAATTGTTTTGGAATTTGTAATTGGAAAAATTGTTTTGGAATTTACGACTAGATTTACAGTAAGTTTAAAGATCTTAGAAGTAATGGAAAAGGAGGGAAGAGCAATGTTATCTAATATAAAGTAACTCTGGCTTGAGAGTTTGGAATTTCTTACCACTTCCAATTTCTTGAAGTTTGGAATCTCAAACCTTGCCGCTTCGTTATCCATGGACATGCTGTGCCTGTTCTTCAGTTTCCTCACCTATAATGTTTAAAACAAGGAGAGGTTTTATTTCACGAGGATAATATAAAAATACTATATAAGGTAAAGCACAAGGCAATAAATACAGTAATAGTGTGACACTGAAAGTACATATGAAGGTGTAAGATGATGCAGTAAGTTTCTGCCTATGGTAATCACAGAAAGCTTCTGAAAGGAGATATTTGAGTTGGGACTAGACAGATAAGTGGTGGTGATATACAATTAGAAGGAAAGAGTTAGTAAACACTTTAAAAGTATCTGTCACAGCCGGGATGATCGTCTTGCTAACCAGATTAGCTTCCATGAGAGAGAAAATACTGATAACAGTTCTACTTTACTGTATTAAAACCCAAGGTGATCCAGACATCTCCAGAAGAGCCAAATGCTGTTTATTTAATTTGATGGCCTTGCAAAGGATTATACTAAAATCATAAGCCTGCCACATTCAGTAGAAATACTAATGTATCTTAAGAAAGCAACAACAAAAAAAGTATACATGAAAATAGGATAAAAGAACTTTTAAGTCAATGAACCTCTTTAAGCCAATTGATAAATCAGTAATTGAATGTCTCAGATGAGATTTCATCTTTTTTTTTTTTTTAAAGATTTTATTTATTTATTTGTCAGAGAGAGAGAGAGAGAGTGAGAGTGAGCACAGGCAGATAGAGTGGCAGGCAGAGGCAGAGGGAGAAGCAGGCTCCCCGCTGAGCAAGGAGCCTGATGTGGGACTCAATCCCAGGACTCTGGGATCATGACCTGAGCCGAAGGCAGCCGCTCAACCAACTGAGCCACCCAGGCGTCCCGAGATTTCATCTATTATCTCAGAGAGTACTATTGCTTAAATCTTCCTGCCAAAGTAGATGTCTCCTAGAGATAGAGACATGACACATCAGTATTTTGCTACTCTCCCTTCTAATTTAATACACTGTATAAACAATTTGAAAAACAGGAACTTAAGCAGATTTATGTAAATTTATTGTTTTGTTTTTTTTAAAGACTTTATTTATTTGACAGGGAGAGAGAGAGTGCACAAGCAGAGGGAAAAGCAGACTCCCCACTGAGCAAGGAGCCCGATGTGAGGCTTGATGTGAGGCTCCATCTCAGGACCCTGAGATCATGATCTGACCTGAAGGCAGATGCTTAACCAACCGAGCCACCCAGGCACCCCTCTTTTATATAGTTCATATGGATTGACTTACCTATTACCTTACTAAATATCAACAAACCTATATAGAAGTTACCATCTTCATTTTATAGGTGAGATAACTGAGAGTTAGAAAGGTTAAATAATTTGTCCAGTGTTTCTCACGTAGTTACTAGGAGCGCTGAAAATTGAACCCAGGTCTTTTTTATTCCAAAGCCCATATTCCTTCTGTGATATGATGACACTCTTCTAGCAGATTACTTTGCAATTTAGTTTATTATCAAAATGAAAATATTTTAGGTGAAAATTATAAAGAGCAAAAAAGATGTACTCTATTATCTTTTTTATTTAAAAGATGACTAATACTAGAATATGCACAGAAAAAAATTATGAAGGTCATATGACTACCTCTAGCTGCAGGAGAAACTGAGAAATCAAGCTTTTATAAAAGTGGGACATATTGTCGGCCAAATAAAATCAGTCTTCTACAAAGAAAAAAATAAAAGGAAAGATTGGATACTGAGTGGATGACTGGCAGGGTTTGGCCACAGATCCTAGGAGAGAATCAGAATGTATGGGGTGGAGGTACTTGGGGAAAGAAGAAAAGTAATTTGGAAAAGCGTTAGTGTGCTGCCAGGGTATAGGTTCAAACTTATCCATTATTTGATATGTTTAGCATACTCCTTAAGCAATCCATTCCCCTTGACTTCTCTATGGTGATGATTCCTAAATATGTTTCTTCAGCTTAGATTTTTTTCTTCTAAGATTTAGACCCAGATATCTAAGATCTGTTCCCAGAGATATCTACATGGATATCTCACTGACACCTCAAACTTTGAACATATCTAGAAATGAAATCACCATTTTTCTCTCCAGTATTTCTTCTCTTCCTGTATTCCCTAACCCAAGGAAAATGTTACCATGCACCTAACTGCTAAAGTCGTAAACCAGGCCATCATTGACTTTCCCAACTCTTCTAACTGCCATATCAAATTATTATCAGTCCAAGCC